GGTGCTGAGGTGCTGAGAAGGTGCTGAGGTGCTGAGAAGGTGCTGAGAAGGTACCGAGGTGCTGAGAAGGTGCTGAGGTGCTGATAGGTTTTACAAAAGAATATATAAACTCAATCGCTATTATGTGATAGATTGATAGCGCTCTCTATTGCATTCATTATTTTTCATTCTAATCTCAATGAACGTTATAAACGTCCAATCAGAAATTTACTCATTATGCGTTACTTTCTAACTCAACTTTATTCGACACATAAACTCATAGGTATGCTCTTTTTGTAACATAAGGAAGAGTATTTGAATAAAAAAATTAAATCAAAATAAATTCTTTGTATAATCATACCATGTCTCGCTATCTTAACTCTTAGAAAGTTAGAATATATCGACGATTACGAGAAAAATTGAAAGAGTACCTATTTGTTTCGATTTCCTCTAACAGACTCATCTTCGTAAAAAATAACACATTATTAGATTTCTCGCCATATGATATTGTTATCTTAATGCACATTCATAATCTCTGTATATTTTTGATGATGAATCTATTTATTTAAGATAATTATTTTAATTAATTATGTCATCGATAAAACCTGAAGAAATATATACGAATGATTTACCAGATGATATTTTCAGTTACAATCAAGATCGATTTTATGATTTTATTAAACATTCATATGGTAATGATATTGCTGAATTACTTATTTTCCAAGCGATTAGAAATGGATCACATCTTTTAATCACAACATCTGATGATATTTTATCAGTTTTACAACAAGAATCTGATGATCTAAACAAATTGAAAAACTTGTGTTGTTTTCAAGTCGGTAATAACAAATATGAAATAAAATTAGGAATCAAACTTGCACTTAATAATCTAATTCAGTTATTGAAGATCAAACAAGAACAACAAAAGACGAAAAAACGATCGTCAACTCAACGTTCATTATCCAATTCTAATACATTAACATCTATTACTCAAACACAAACACAAAATGAAACAAATACATCATCGTCTACATCATTAACTCCTTCAATTAGTGATGCAAGTTCGACACGGGCAAGATTCACACCAGTACAAAAAAAAATCAATGAAATGGATCATATACTTGATATTGAAGAACGAATTAATACATGGTGGAGTACAACTAATGATGATCATTTGTACTTGGATGAAGGTACACATTATTTTTTAGCAATCAACAAATCAATCAATGATAGATACACGTGCGTTTTAACATGTCAATGTAGTATTCGATTTAAATTACCATTTATGCCGGGAGGTTTTTTCAAATTATCATCGTTTTATCGACATATCAAGGAAAAACAATGTATAAAATTATCCAATAAAGTGAGTATTTCTCAGGTAAAAATAATATTTTTGTGAATTTCTATATATTTAGATACATACAACAGAAAATAATTCAACCAATAAAGAAAATCCATCAAATCCATCAAATAATTCTTCAAAATTATTGAATGCAAAGTCGAAGAAAAACAAAACATTATCACATACGACTTCAAAACGAGTTCGATCAACATCTAGAGAAGCACCTTCGAACATCAGTAACATAGTCAAAAAAAAGAATCAACTATCTTCATCGAATAATAGAGACACATCTCCAGACTAAACAGTTATTTTTAATAGTAATTGCCATAGAAAATTGTATTTGTTTTTTATTTCAACAGATGGAGATGTTATTAGAAAATTTTATTCTATATTTATTTATATATATTTTTAATTCGTTGTTCATATTAGACTTTGTCTCTCGTTTAACAATTTTTTTTCTTTTGTTGATATAATAGTTAGACGAAAAGAGATCAGATATTTTTTTGTATTTGAAACGAAACTATTTATGTATGTAACTGTATTGATATAGAATTAAAAAAAAGGTATTGATTTCATATTGAACAGATTGATTTATATGTTCTCTTTAATATTCATGCTTCACTTATAGTTAGGTTGACGGTTATCAATATTTCATTTAAAAAAATTATTTGTTTAATATTTACAATGGATATTTTACAACTTGATGAGTTAACGGATGATATGATGAACTTACGTAATGATGATTTCTACAACTTCCTCGAAGTTGCATTGAATAAAGATTTATGTGAGCTTTTTCGAGTTCAAGGTATTCGAGATATGTCTTCTTTATCATCAATAACAATTGATCAAATAACACAAGTATTTACTTTTAATATTATGGAATTAAATAATTTGAAAAAATCACTTGGTTTTGTATCGACTGATGGAAATTTTCATCTTCGACTTGGTTATCGGAATTTATTAGAGCGTTTAATACTATTAGTTAAGTCAAAGAAAAGTTCATTTGTTAAAAATTTTGAATTATCGAATAAACATAAAGAAAATCAAATTAATGAGAAATTGTTAGAAATGTGGAAGCAAACATCTAGTTCATCGAATAAAGCTTGTATTCCAATTTTATTTCCATGGATAAATAATATTTTTCAAAATTTAGAAAAAACAAAAAATAGATATCGTTATGATGATCATATTCAAGAATTTGCTTTATTAATATTTATTTTTGGAGGTCGAAATTGTTACGAATTTCTTCGTTTAAATTTACCAGCAGCATTGCCTCATATTTCTAATTTAGAATTAATAATAAGAAGTCAAGAATTAAGAATGATTGAATGTGAATTTAGGTTTAACTTATTAAAAGAATATTCACAAATAAATAATTCTAATTATATTTTTGTTGCTGAAGATTTAACTAGTTCTATTACTTGTATTGATTACGACGTACAATCCAATTCGTTTATTGGATTTTCACCACCATTAGTTAATGGAATACCAGAATCAAATTTTTTCCGGACAGAAAATTTTAATGAATTGAAAAAATGGTTCGATGAGTTAGATAAATCAAAATTTATTAATCTTTATATGGTAAAATCTCTAGCATTATCTGCTCCACCTTTTATATTATCTGCTTTTGGTTCGAACAATAAGTTTACAGCTATAGATATTGTGAAGAGGTGGTTATTTATACATAATCAGTGTTTAATACAAGGTATAAGGGTTGTAGGTTTTAGTACAGATGGTGATGCTCGTTATCTTAGAGCGATGAGGCTATTCTCTCGCTTTTTTGCTGAATTACCAAATTTTAATTTTTTTAAACATCATGATGGATTTGATATAAAAATATCTAATCAGTGGTCTTGGTTCTTAATGCAGGAACAACAAATTTTTCTTTTTATGCAAGATCCCATTCATATTGCGACGAAAATTAGAAATAGACTTCTTTCTAGAGTAGCAAAAATGAAAATGGGATCTTATTCAATTGATAAAGAACATTTAATTGATTTAATTGAATCAAAGAGCAAAATCGAACATAATTTAACTAAAACTGATGTTAATGTGAAAGATCGGCAAAATTTTTCTTCTTGCTTAAGAATATCTTCTGAAAAAGTTTTATATTTATTGAATAAAAATGAAAAAGCTAAAGGTACATACGTGTATTTAACATTATTAAACTTGATTATATCTGGATTTATAAATAAATCAACAACAATTGAAAAACGACTATATCACATATGGACTGTAGTCTTCATATGTCGATTATGGTTCTCATGGATACATTATCTAAACATAACAAACAGCAACAATCACACAAATAATAGTAATAATAATTCCCAATCACAAAAAAAAATCAAACAGAGAACTTTTATTACAAGACCAACATTATGGTGCATTGAAATCAATGCACATACATTACTTTATATAATCCTTCTAGTTATTAAAAAAAAATTACCAATTGATGCACTTAATACATTTGGTTTTAATTCACAGATATGTGAAAATACTTTTCGTATTGCTCGTTCATTGACCGGCCCGTTCTCTTCAGTTACTAACTTTAGTGTCAAATCATTTATGAAAAGAAGTGAAAAAATATCTGTTGTTAATTCAATTAAAGGTCGTGATAGTAAGATGAGAGATTATTGTTTTCAATTTCCACAACATCATAAGAATGATAAAGAAACATATGACTATTCTGTTGACAGTATTAAATCATTAAATTTAACAGAATATGATATTGAAAAAATTATCTATCATGCATTTGAATCAGCTAAACAATATGTTTCAATGGTTAATATGACTCAACTATTAGAAAATAAAAATATTTATTCATTACCTGAATTAAGTCATTTCATCAAAACAATTTTAAGTAAACCATCTTCAAAAATAGTAGATTACACGGAAGATGATGATTCTAATTATGATTCAGATGATGACGAATTCGAAGATGATGAAGATGGTTCAGTAACATTTGGCGACGAAGGTCAAATGTTACCGAATATGTTCGATGAAGAGGAAGAAGAAGAAGAAGAAGGCAACATTGTCGCAAATGACCTTTCTAATATATCACAACAAAATTTTAAAGGCTGCCGAATATATGACAAAATAAACTCACAACATATGAACAAGTTTTTTCGTATTCATATTAATTCATCAGTGAAATACATTCACAAACAAACAGCCTGCTGGCTTTTGACGACGAGTAAAAATCACCTGTCAAGTGATCGATTAGAACGTGTGAAAGAACCAAAAGATAAATAACATCTTTTTTGTTTTTTTTTTGTCGAACTTACGTTAGTTTGTTTTGCTCTAATCAGTATTATGGAATATTTTTGATACTTATTTTTGATTAAAAACTTAGATTATCACATTGTATGTATATGTGCGTGTTTCAAGCAAAACATCTCCTATGTTATTGAAAATAAAACTAGTCTTTTGTGAATTATTTGCAAATAATTGAACTAAGTTACAATATCAAAAAGATGCTAAAAAGGTGCTGAGAAGGTGCTGAGGTGCTGAGAAGGTGCTGAGGTGCTGGGGGTTCCAAATCTGCACTTTCCCCCTTGAAAGGCGATCACTTGACTCGATTCTATTGACAGTAGGCTACTAACA